AATGCTGACCAACCTGAATAAGCTATGCTGACCAATTGGAATAAACAATGCTGACCAACCTGAATAAGCTATGCTGACCAATTGGAAGAAGCGATGCTGACCAATTTGAATAAACAATGCTGACCAATCTGAATAAGCCATGCTGACCAATTGGAATAAACGATGCTGACCACTCGGAATTAGTTACACCGACTGTTCCTCTTGATCATTACTCCTGTGTTAGCACATTAGTCGTGTGCCATGGTACACTCCCGTCTCTGATATATAAAATATACTACATGGAGTGAAAATAAAAAGGGTGGGTTTGTTCCTTTAGTGTGACAAAAATTCCAATTTAAACACATTTTCAGGATAACTTAATATAAAGAGACAATGTGGCTCCAAAGCCAACATTTCCTGCTTCCAGGCACCTGGCTGTCCTCATAAACCCCCAGTGCACAAAGTCCAAGCAAGAATTTCCTCTTCTGTTGTGATGAATATTAGACTCAACTGACACATATAAAATCATAGCCTCAATGAGTTTGTTTATAGATACTCAGCCCACTAAATTAGAGACATTTACAAACTATAACACAACATCTATTGAGAAGGATAAATTTGTGAGGCCGGAGGCTAGGCAGAGTCTCTGGTGGTTGGCCATAAGATTGGAGGCGAGGCAGAGTCTCTGGAGGTTGGCTGTGAGGCTGGAGGCTAGGCAGAGTCTCTGGAGGTTGGTGGAAGGGTAGGCAGAGTCTTAGGAGGTTGGCGGGAGGCTAGGCAGAGTCCCTGGTGGTTAGCCATGAAGCCGGAGACGAGGCAGAGTCTATGGAGGTTGACCGTGAAGCCAGAGGCTAGACAGAGTCTCTGGATGTTGGTGGGAGGCGAGGCAGAGTCTCTGGAGGTTGACTGTGAGGACGAGGCTAGGCAGAGTCTCTGGAGGTTGGCTGTAAGGCCGAAGGCTAAGCAGAGTCTGTGGAGGTTGGCCGTGAGGCCGGAGGCTAAGCAGAGTCTCTGGAGGTTGGCCTGGAGGACAGAGACAAGGCAGAGTCTCTGGAGGTTGGCTGTGAGGCCGGAGACCAGGCCGAGTCTCTTGTGGTCGGCAGTGAGGCCGGAGGTGAAGCAGAGTCT